ATTGTCAGAAAATTCCCGAATGATTTAATTCACCAGGTTTCAAAAGGAGACGGTTAAAACATTTTTTACAACCATATAAATTATATTTAGTAGCTACACGTGCATGAGTCGGCGTCTCTGATTTTTAACAGTAAATTTTTCGTCTACCGGCCTAGTTTTTTGCGAAAATCTTTGATAATTGAAATACTGCAGGAGGGCATATTTTCTTTATTAAAGAGATTCTTTTTTTTTTCTACGTAAGCAAACAGTTATGTATTTGGTTGCACATTAGAAAAATATCGTTGGAGGCATTTCATCATTATATATTTTTTTAAATAATTTCCTCCAAGTGAGGCAGTAAAACCACTAAGACAGGCGGGGTTACTGAGTGTTAAAGAATAAGAAAAAATAAAAACTTTATTAAACATCGAAAACAATAAAAGAACAGTAATCAAGAAGTCAGTAGATAGCTGCTGACATTACATTTAAATTCTATACTTCATAAATGAAACTTTGGTACCGACATTTTCCAGACCCCAGACCTAACCACTGAGTAGGAGATCTAACGAAATAAAATACTCACATTTCAGGAAGAGACATGCCACTTTTTTTTCTTTTTTTTTTATTCCGAGCCAGGATAATGGATGAAGTTGATGAAGTTAAAACGTTGAAAGAAAAGAAAAATGGAAAATTTATTGCACGATCTAGTTACCGGTTTCATATTGTTGACAGCTTTTTTTTTCTCTTCCAAATGATTTGCAGAACTTTTGAATAAACAATGAGTGATGACTATTTTAATAGACATTAGAAAGTGTCAAGAGCTCCATTTACAAAAGCATGCTGGGAATGGTAGGACCCCGAAAGCGTGTGTATTTCAGATCATCAACTTGCAACAAATGTGTGTGCACATTGCTTTTAAGTATGCATATGCGAATTAGCAGAAATCATTTTAAAAAAGTAATACTTACATCATGATGCTACCTGCCGACGTTAAAATTGGATTGAAATATTTTTGGATAGACATATAGATAGATCTTTCTATCTTTTCTACAAATACTGTCATGACAACAAGCTCTTCTTTTCTTATTGGCTAGATTGCATGAATTTAAGCGTGCCGATAGATTAGTAATAAGGTCTCGCCATTTTGCTGTTGAACTAGCAAGATGCAACATACTAGATAGATAGATAGATAGATAGATAGATAGATAGATAGGAGCAGACAAAGGAACAGACATAGATATATCGATAGATAGATATAAACACGGATAGATAGATAGATAGATAGATAGATAGATAGATAGATAGATAGATAGATATGAGCAGACATATGAACAGACACAGATAGATAGATAGATAGATAGATAGATAGATAGATAGATAGATAGATAATAAAAATATCCGTAGAAATTCCCCTACCGCTACGTTAAATATGAGATTAACTACTATGACATAATATTGTAATAACAATCCTAAATATGAAGGATAGTCGTTACTTTAACTATCAGGTCATCCCATAAGTTCTGTCCGAATTTTGAATAAAGAAAACAAGTGACCAAATGTTACATTTAATTACAGATTCAATCAACAATCTATTTTCCCTGATTATCTATGACTTCTTTCCATCTATTAACAAGCTTACTAATTCCATTACTGTAAAATTATTTTTGGCTTTGATTCAAAGAACTCACAAATGTCAGTTTTAACCTCTTCCCAAAAGTTACAAAAGCTGTTTCTTCCAAATGATTCTCTTTAGCTACAGAAACAAATGGTAGTCTGAAGGAGCAAGATCAGGAGAATAAGGTGGATGAGGAATTTTCTCCCAACCAAGTTCTTCGATCTTTTTGTGACGTGATTCTTGCTAATGTGGGTCGCGCATTGTCCTGATGAAACATCACCTCTTTTCGATTCACTAGACCAGGTCTTTTTTTCCTCAAAGCTTGGTTCAAACGCTCTAATTGCTGACAAAATATTTGAGCATTAATTGTTGCATTAGGGTGGTAAGAATTCAAAGTGGATTATTCCTTGGCGATCCCACCAGATTGAAAAGAAGAACCTTTTTGTCCATGAAGTTCCCTTCTCGGCTGTGGCTGGGGTCCTTCCCTTTACCAAGCCACTGTCTACGACGCTTAACATTTCGATAAAAGATCCATTTTTCATCGCCAGTCACAAGTCTAGAAACAAGTTGACGGGAATGGAGAAAGAACAGATGTCAACTCAGGATTTGAGGTTGTTTTCAGACAATTCATGAGGCACCCATTTTCCAAGTTTAGGAATTTTTCCCAAGTTGTTGTTGAAGATGACGATGAACAGTTGTATGCTTTGAACTGAGAACCACTGCCAATTCCTCAACTGATAAAGGAGGATTTTCTTCAAGGGCTGCCTCAAGAAGCTTTTCATCAAACTCAACTGGACGTCCGGTTCGATCTTTATCTTCAAGGTGAAATCTCCACCTCTGAATTTTGCAAACCATCTTCTGCAAAGTTCTTTCATTCACACATTCCTCTCCATAAACTGGTGGAATGTTTCTAGCCGCTTCGGCTGCTGAGTTTCCTTTCTTTGAACTCCTAAAGCCTTATGTGCCTCAAATGATTCTTGGGTACTTCCATGTTAGCAGGGTTTTAATCAAACAAAATTTAATTTTATTGTTCTCTGAAATAAAATTTGATCAGTTTAAATGCATCTAGACATAAAAATAATGTTCAGCTCCATTAGACATTATAAAATACTCTTTAAATTTCGTTCATTTTAACAAAAAGTTAAAATTCGGACAGAACTTATGGGGTGACTTGATAGTAAGGGAGTACAAATGAAAAGAATTGAAACTGACAATTGATTTCCATCCCTTTGAAACAGGTCTTAAACACATTTTTCTTTCCTTCTTTCATTTTCTAACTAAAACCAAGTAGCAAGAAAACTGTCCATTATTTTTGATCTGTGCTTACCAGTCGTACTAAGGGAGGGACAAGTAGAATTATAAGATAAGATGTCCTGATGCTACATCTTATTATAAAACGCAAATTGTGTATGTGTGTGTGTGTGTGTGTGTGTGTGTGTGTGTGTGTGTGTGTGTGTGTGAACGTTTATATATTTTTTCCAATTTTTTCTTGATTTCAACAAAAAATCACAGGACTATATAAAATTATCTTTTGCGGTGGTTCTAACAGCACCCAAAATGGGAAAACACAATTGTTTTTTTCAAAATCAATTTGAAAACACGATTAAGAGACATCGTGAGAATGAAAGGGGACAACTCACATCCGGTTGGACAAATTCCTATATATATGGGATCGGATTTCCTACATTTTTCAGTCGATAAAACAAAATTCATTTTTTTTTTTTTTTAGGTGTTTCTTATTCTCTTGCACACTTTTTCTTTTTTTTAACAATCAGAATGCTTTAAAATTCCATTTACAAGACAATTGTTTATAATAAAATTCTATTCAATCGGGAGACTCATAACGATTGAAAACAATGTTTTGTTTGAGTTTGGGTTTGACCAATTCGTTAAAAAAAAACTAATTAAGACATGCGTGTCCGTCAACCTAAACAATAATCTAACGATCTCTACTGATTGTACGAGTCCAAACATCGGATAATTCTTTATCTTTGGGAAAGATAATAAAATCTAAACATACACAAGTCCTAACTAAAAAATAATAACCGAAAACTACTTTAAATACACATGATTGTTCAATTTCTTTTACTGTATTCAATAAATAAAAATCATAAATTGTAAAAAGATTATTATTACAGAAAGGCTACTAAATGAATAAGATTTGTTAGATCATAATTAATAAACTCAAATAAAGTTAATATTTTTTTGTATTAGAAACAACGAGTGGAAAATATATTCAAATCAGAATTCTAATTATGAATCACCACAAGCAAAAATATGCAATTTTTTTTTTATTCAATAAAAAAATCATAAATTGTAAAACTAAAAGATTACAGAAAGGCTACCTACATTTTTTCAACCAATTTCAACAAAACTTTTTTGGCATGTAGTGTTTTTATTGTCTTGCACTTTTTTTTTTCTTTATTTTTACATTCAGAATGCTTTAAAATTCCATTTACAAGACAATTGTTTATAATAAAATTCTATTCAATCGGTAGAGACTGAAAAACAATGTTTTCGTAAAAAAAAAAAAAAAACTAATTAAACATGCGTGTCGTCAACCTTAAACAATAATCTTTGTCAATTTTATTTTTCAGTCTTTATGATGGTCGATACTTGATCTATCTCTTACTGTTACAATCCTGGGCAACGCCGAGCTCTACTGCTAGTCACTCATAGCTCTCATAACTTCTGATCTTAATTGAATGAAAATGTTAACATGTAGATCTTTTGTCTTGGGGAATTAAAATGGGCTACAGTAAATATCCCGTTCACTATTACATATTTGCTTGTCGTTTACCTGACCGTACCCATGTTCCCGGGGGGGGTAGCGGGGTTATTGAAGGATGAGGCAAACAAAGCGACTTATAATTCATATCTAGATACTTGGTAACGCATTCAAACCAAACTAGGTTATCCAGCCTGAAAATATATCTAAGTGGAGACCATCTTCAAGGCTATGTGTTGCAGTTATCAAAACTTTTCATCTGATCGCGCACATTTGACTGTGTTAAATGTTCTTATAATACACTTATCAGACCGAGTGTCATGATGAGCCTACTGGGCGGGCTTTGTATATATTGTACTCTGACGTCAATTTATTGGTGTGTTGCTCTTCCTCTCAATAATAATAATAATAATAATACACACTTAGATCTAGAAACGAACGCGTGACAAACAACAGGGTTAAAAAAGAAAGTAACTGAGTGAAATAATGAAACAAAGAGGTCAGAGTTGCCTCTTGTATTTCTTAGCCAATATTTTCCCCTCCATTCACAATAATCGACGGCACGAACCTCTTCCTGTGATGGCTTTGGTTATTGGGTGGGTCAAAGGAGTCAGGGTTCACATCTTGTCCACTCTTAATTACTGCGTTTCATACTCACAAAGTCGTCATTTAATGACAATGGAAATGAAGTCTCCCCGGTTCATAACTGACCTTCTAAAACAGCTGAACACAACGAAACTTTCTCGCACTTGTTCTCCAACATCCGGTACTCTTCCCTTCTACACATTTCCCGCCCTACTCCACATTTTCCCGCCCTTTTCCACTTTTCCCGCCCTTCTACACTTTTCCCGCTCTTTCACGCGCCGAGCCCAACCATTCAGTTATATCTCAGCTTGTCTCATCCCAATCCGAAGTAGCTTCTCTTTTTTCTTTCTTTCCTTGACTCTCTCTCTCTCTCTCTCTCTCGCTTACTCTCTGTCTTCCTCTACTTTCTCTGTTTATTCTTCGCTTTTTCTTTCTTCCTCTAGCTATTCCTTCTCTCTCTCTTCTTTTCTTTTCTCCCTCTTTCTCTCTTCCCCTACTTTTTATCTTCCTTCACTCTATTTGTCTTTCTCCTTTTCTATCGTTTTTACTCTTTCATCCTCTCTCTCTCTCTCTCTCTCTCTCTCTCACACACACATTTCATCTATCTCCCGCCCACTTTCTCTCTCCTTTTCATCGTTTTCGCTTTCTCCTTCTCCCTATTCTCTCACTCTTCCGTCTCTTTCGTCTTTTATTTATCTTTGTCTTCTCTCTCACGTTCAACCCCTTTTCCTGACTTGTTTCTTTGTCCTCTCACTGTCCCCACTTTTCTCATTTTCTCTCTCTCTCTCACACACTCTCTCTCTCTCTCTCTCTCTCTCTCTCTCTCTCTAGCCGCCACATGCTTGTTTTGGTGGTCATCGTAGTGGATCGATGACCTCAGACATAATGATCGGCCGTTTACGAAGGCTTGTAAACAAGCAATCAATTTGAATGGTCAGTAGTCTGGTCAAATATCGGTGCTGAAGAGCCTTCAAGAATGGCATATGTCAGTGTCTGCTGGTGTCTATTCGTATGTATGTCTGCTCCATAGGTTATGTCGGTCCGGCAGTGTTCATGTATGTTTAACATCCTGTCGTCGTGTCTAGACAGTAGTAAATCACTTTCCCTTGTACGCATGCCAGAGACAATATTAGAAATGATGTCTATATTTAATTGACTCAGTAAAGCAGGTGTGTGTACAGAGGTGATGACAAAAAAAAAAACAAACAATGCATTTGTAGGTTCGCGCCCATACAAAGGCAGAAGATCGTGCGGTTGTGTAAGTATGTGTCCCTTGAATTTTAATGCATGAACGAGTGGGAAAAAAAAGTTTTTTACAGCTTTGCATAGGTCAGTACCAATTTCGTTTTTAGCTGGAACTCTTCGTAATAACATTTCTGGAAATTTTATCAATTAATGAATTGTTGCATAAATAAAAGCGATGTTTTTTTGTTTTTTTTATCAATCCGTCAGATTTTTTTACTTAAACGTCATTTTAGTGGACACCCGCATTTAAGTAGACGCTCCGTTTATTTATTAAACAGTATATTTATTTATTTTCGTATACTTGTCGGAAAATTTGGGAAATGTTATTAAAGAAAAAAAATATGTGCTATCTGGCAGGATTCGAACCTGCGTTCCCTAAGCAGGGGGAAACCGTCGTTAGAATCAACATGCTTAGAACTCTCGCGTTAGACGATAATAAATGAATATACTGTTTAATAAATTAATGAGAGTCTAATTAAATATCCTCCTCCCCTCTCTCTCTCTCTCTCTCTCTCTCTCTCTCTCTCTCTCTCTCTCTCTCTTCTCTTTTATATATATATATATATATATATATATATAGATATATAAGAAAAATATATACGGAAAAAACAAAAACAAAAATCCTTATATACAATTATGCAGATTTAATGTTAATATGTCAACGTCGGACGTTTCAAGTTTAATAAACCATCTTCAGGACATATTCATAAATATAACATTATCAATACAACATGACAAAGACGATGTACATAAGAACAAGACTTATCCAAACAAATAACTGAAAGTTTTATAAGATCAGCGCTCCGTTTAAAACATGGTCACGTTGTCGTCACGTGGGCGACGCTGTGAAAACGTATTCCTAAAATTTTGAGTATTTTGAATGAAAAATGAAAAGAATTCTATTTTGAACTAAAATTTATATGTACGCTTGTCGAGCATTAATCTCGCTAGAAAAGGGGAAATATTAAAGAAGCCAGGTCTAGTATTCACCCTCACTCACATCAAACTTTAATCTCTCCCTCTCTCTTTCCATCACACACGCGCGCGCGCGGTAATATAATTATTACCCCCTCTTCTTACGTGGAATCATTCAGCATCCAATGATGCTAGTTACGTGATCATCGGGTTGGAATCAAAGTGTAGTATCTGCTTTCGGGTGGAAAACCTACATTTTATCTCTCAGCTGTGTCAGAGTTGACAGAGCACAACTGAAATATTACTGACAGGTACCCGGTCTGAGGGAAACTGCTACCCACAACTGTACCTCCCTCATTGCACTAAAAAGGGAAGATCGGTTGTCATAACGACGCCAACGTAACCGACGGTCGCCAGAGGTTGGGAGAGGGGGGCTTATTTGGGACTTGGCCCCGTTGCCCTCCCTTGAGCTCCCCACAATGAGCTGACCTTGTGTCACAACCTGCCAACATGGGGCGGTAATCAAATAGAATCTTCCCTCGGGCTGATAAAGTACATTCTATCACTCAACAAATATATGAGGGACGCCTGGTCCCGGAGATTCCAAACCTACGGCAGCACCTCCTTCGTTGCAGAGGAATATCGAAGCCAGCGTGACTTTGGATGAGGGTACTGGGAAATTTTTAGACTTGCCCATATGCTCGCTCGTGGGCTCGCCAATTTAAACGAACCTTGTACTATATCCCGTCACTGTGGTGGTGTAGGACAAGAAAATATTAAATTTAGTATCTATTTCCTCATCTCTAATAGTAATGGTAATATTTTATGGTAATGCTGTTATATTAACATTCTCTTTATGAGTAGAAATTTTTTTTTTAAGCATTTCACCCCAAGCAAGGCGGGGAGCCACTAGGACGCAAGGGGTTACAGAAAATTTAGAGCAAGATCAGATAGGATTGAGAGAAGAAAGGACGAGGGTAGTGGATAGATCAAGGCAACTGGAGATGTCGATTGACATTACACTTGAATAGCTGGAGATTATAGCTCTCAGAGAAACTGGAATAGGGAAGGGAGTTCCACAGGCGAGAGACATAGCTATTGCAGTAGAAGCTATTTCGACAGTGAAGGGAGGTGAAGAGGATGTCACCTCGTAGGGCTCATAAAGTCTGGGAACCAGCGAATGCAGCTCCTCAGGATGAAATATTTGTAAAAAAAAACAGAGAGAGAGGGACAGCGCGCCTGTGAGAAACTGACTGTAGACGAGATGCCAGAGCAGGACCAACTACATTCATTCTTTCAAGCCAATGTTATTGTCGATTGAAATTCATAAAGTCTTTCTCATAAAACGGCTTTTTCAGGAAAAATAGGTTTTTCATGCCCAGCAACATGAGGAAGTAATGGATAACGGCTCCGATTGAGGAATCGGAGAGCCGAGTTGGAATTCCTGTCGAATCCATTACATTCACTTACGTGTTTGGAAAAGGTACGAATCCTCTTCTTATCCCCCCAATCTATGGATAAATAGCGGGACAGACCGGATTCTATATCCTTGGATGGCAACTGGTCTTACCTCAGAAAAAATAGCAGAGGGGGGAAAAAAAATCTACCTCGTCAGAATATATCGAAAGATATATCGTCTGTGTAGAAATATTGATGGAGGTTCATTCCTAAAAATTTGATTATGTCATCATTTTTTCACGAAGGCACATGGCATTTAAACAAAAAATATTTCAGGACTAATATATTTATTCTGGTGTCTTAAACTATTTAGCAAAACCGATTTATTGCAGACTTTGTTTATAAACTTTGTTATAAACAATTGTTTATAAACAAAGTTATATCAAAGTTATAAATAAGTCATTAGCAAAGAAATTTTGAAATTTTATAAACTTTGTTTTTAATATTTTCGTCAATTGTATAAATGACTTTTTTATTATATTTACTTACATTATAAATACTCTTGGAGGGAAAATCCTATAGACTAGTTCCTAGTTTTATAGCCTTGTCCTATGCTTTTAGCCCTGTCCAGCAATATAGGGGAAAGCCTTGTCCTAATGGATAACGGCCCCGATCCGATTGAGGAATCAAAACCTAGGAGAAACGTTTCCCCACTGGAATGTCTGGCGATGAGGTAAATGGGACCCCAACCCAAAACAGTGATTAAAGGGGCAGGTAGACTCCTCATTACATTTTATTTAACCTACCGTTTGGTGGATTTGGAAAAGGTCAATCAGAATCAACTTTGGATTTGGTTTGGATTAATACAATGTTTCTTATGACTTCTCATCCCCCAATACTATGGATTGCCCGTGTAGGAAAAAGCGGACAGACCTGGTTCTATAAAAAAGTGCCTTTGCCGTGCTGATGGCAATGCTGGTTCTTATCTATTTTTTTCTAGCTCTATACTAAACATTAAATCAGAAAAAAAAACTTGAACAAACAACTTTACTGGAAAACCAGATGGGGAGTTCTGCGGAAAAAAACGTTGAGTTTAAGCTGCCAATTGGAGTAAAGTGCGTTTAAATTTTTCCAGTAAATATATTTTTTTTTTTTTTTTTTGCATTGCTAGCATGCTAGTTAACATTCGTGTCAATCAGCTGTTGGCTCTCACGCTGGCCAATAGATATATGATCGCTTAAGTATGTTTCACGCATCGACATAACCGCTTGGAGCATGTGCATATAAATTTTGGGTGCAAATCCGTCAATTGCTTCTCAATGATATTAATAGATTGATTTCTTTGTTACGGCTTATCAACCCATTGCAGTTTATTTAAAGCCATAAAATATTTTTTTAGATTGTAAGAACGTTTGGAGATAATAATAATAATTATTTATGCAAATCCTACTCATTAACTATACCCGGGGCAGAATAGGTGGATTAATATCATTCCCAAGTATATTTACGCGTAAGGGAATATAACAAACCCGATTTAAATTCGAACTCGGCTCTCAGATTTCGAATTCCGAGCAATTATCCATTACACGATCCCCACATCCAATACTACGACGCCTGGTATTCTACACAGCTATAACCTTATATTCTTGATAATATCTTTGCAAAGAAATAACATAGTCTGACACAAGGCCAAAATAGTAGAGCGCTGTACAATGGTAAAATTAAAACTATTTTGTGAGGCCCGCCGGTATGAAATCAATTTGCTGTTATATTTGCTTATAGGTGTGTGTCGGGAAGGAAATGTCCGTGTTTTAAGGGTGTGATTGGGATGGAAAAGTTGGACGGTTAATGGGGAAAGGGTGAGATTTTTGGCAGCTGCGAGAGGGTGGGACTTTGAGTGTCCGTTACTCTTGCTGGCACCAGCCTCTTGTGTCCAAAGCGCCTGCTGTTTCCGATCGCTGAACAGAGCTGAACTTGAAATATCTGAAGTAGTATCAAGCCGGCCATACGCGCACGCGAACACATATCCTCGTAGACAGATGCGAGACATCCACGTAGAAAAAAGAAAGAAAAAAAAACAATACTCCAACTCTCTACATTACTTATATGACCACACACAGCGGGGCACAAGGAAAAAAAATATATGCATACACAATCATTGAGACATCTACAAATATTTATCATTTAAACATTAGTATTAATTATTTATGAAAAAAACGAAACACAACTTTCTAAGCCTAGAGTAGAACGGTCAAAAATTAAAAAATTAAAACGATAACATATCTAGAAAAAAAACCGGAAATGAATAACTGCAAATGGCGACAGCTGAAACAAAAGAGGAAAAGGAAAAAGAGCGAAAGCCAGGGAGTGAGTGTAAAGTGAAATAAAACGAGGAAAAGCACAAATAACCACGACACCCTACACAAACACGCATATCCGCGCAAAACAAGCGCGCGCGTATATATATATATATATATATATATATATATATATATATATATATATATATATATAATCATTCATACAAAAAAACAAATATAGAGGTTAATGATTTAAATGGCGAGAATACATCTTCGCAAAACAATTTCAATAAGATACATTAACCCCGAACCTGTATATGAATGATATGATCCCTGTTTATAAATTCCAGTTTCATAAGGTCTTTTTAGTTTTTACAAGCTATCTTCTGTTCCTACAGACATCCTCAGGTATGGAAATAGATTTGTTCATGTTTTTTACTTCTCAGTAATAAGAGGGACAACAATATATATATATATATATATATATATATATATATATATATATATATATATATATATATACACACCTCTCCCTATAGTTACCTCTTCCTATAACTTTCATTTACTCTAACATTCGTCCCACACTCTCCTACTTACACTATCTCTAAATTTTATTTTTTATACCCGGAGTTGTTTTTTTGTGTTTTCTTTTTTAATATGTAGGTCTGATGAATTGGATCGTATTTACGATTCCAATGGAATAAATTATGATCATGGAATATTAGTGTTTAAGACTTTTTTTTATTATATCCTTACTCTGTCCTAGACATTGAGTTCTACCTGGATTCTATCCTCTTGAATTTTTTTTTATAAAAATATGTGCATGTGTGTGTATATATGTATATATATTTATATATTTTAGATATATGATTGCATATGTATGTGTATATTTACCACTTATATTATCTATCATCTATCTATATATATATATATATATATATATATATTATATATATATATAAAATATATATATATTAAAACAGAAACCATTTTTTTTGGTTGTAATGTGGATTTTAAAAAAAATATATATTCTACTTTATTTTCCATAATTTTGCTATACGTGTTCCGGGTTTCACAACCTTCTTCCGTCAAAGGATGGATATTTCCACATATTATTTAAATGAATTAATTTTCTTTATGGTTTTCGATATTAAACATTCTCTTTTTTTGGTGGGGGTAGTAGTCACCCAAATGTATTTCGTCTTTATTTACAAAAGCAAAGTTGTCATTGGTTTGACAGTAGCATACGTACATCCCATACAATCTAATCACAATTTAAACAATATTCTTCTTTAAAAAAATTTTTCTTGAATATTACTCGCTGACATTTTACCAGACATTGAATTATGTCGCTTTGTGTCTTCCATATGCTTTGACTGATGAACATTCATGAACGTTCTCAAATTTAAAAGTTTTGATAAACCAATGACATTTTTTCTTTTGTATATAAACACGTGCAACAAAATAAATCCTACATTGCCTTGATGAAATTCTTCAGAGGAGAGACACGTGTCGGCAATGAATAGTTTTTCCTCTTGTCTTTTCATTTCTTTTCATTCTTTCTTTCTCTCTCTCTCTCTCTCTCTCTCTCTCTCTCTCTCTCTCTCTCTCTCTCTCTTATAAATATAAAGTAAAGTATTGCACAATCAGTGCTGGTGGTAATAAAAAAAATGAAGATGGGTGCTTGCATGAAATTGTACCAAACGTTGTTAAAAAAAATTATATTTTAATTAATTTGCAAATTAATGTGCGCACATATTATATCAATAAAATAAGTTTAAAAAATAATTAATAAATAAAATAAAAAAATCGCAAACTTTTTGTGGGGCCTCGTTCCCAATAGCCTTTACACATGACTTCAAGTCGGACCATTCCAAACTTCCAGCTCCTCAAAGAATACCATAATACAGACAAAAGACATCTAACTACTACATAGATACCCTATCGGTTCTTGATAATGACTGCGAAAGTAGAAACTACTTGAAAAAATATAACAAACTGCCATTCATCCATTGCTGCCACATATAGCCTGGTCCAGTCTATGAATGACTGGGGCAAAAAAAAATGGCTTATAAATTTTAAGGAATGCAAGACGAAACTGTTGCATCTACTCTCCATGGAGAAACTTTCCTGCTTCCTATCAGCATGGCCTGGTCTAATCTGTGGATGACCGGGGCAAAAATGGCTTATGAATTTTAAGGAATGCAAGACGAAACTGTTGCATCTACTCTCCATGGAGAAACTTTCCTGCTTCCTATCCGAATGCTTCTGTGGATGACCGGGGCAAACTCTATAAGAGCGCCATCTACTCTCCATGGACTTTCCTAGTCCTATCACGTTTTCCACTGACCTGAGGTGGAACAATTTATAATTTTAATCGATACAGAGCTGCATCTATCGTAAGGAAAGTTTCCTGTTCCTATCAGCTGTGTTGCTGTGGAAGGTTTTTTTTGCATCTGTCTCCATGGAGAATCTTTCCTGCATCCTATCAAATTGGCTGGTCTAATCTGTCCATACATGGAAAAATACTGTTTTAAGCCTTGAAGACCTAACTGTTCATCTTGAGTTTCCTGATAAAATCCAAAACGGATATGCAATGTGATCGGTCCTGACTTGGGGTCCTGACTAACAGTCATTTTCACCGACGTAATGTGATTTCCCTCTGTCTTTCTGTGGATAAATATTTTATGGCAAACTGCTCTCTACGGAGCTTTCCTCTTCCTATCAGCATGGCCCTGAAAATCTGTGGATGGAAAATAGCTTATGAATTTTAAAGGAATGAAATAAAACTGTTGCATCTCTCTCCATGGAGAAACTTTCCTGCTTCCTATCACTGGTCTAATCTGTTACAAAAATACATTTTTGCAAGACAAAATTGTAATCTACTCTCCATGAAAAGCTTTTCCTGCTTCCTATCAGCATGCCCTGGTCTAATCTGAACGGATTACCATAAAAAAATAAGCAGAATGCAAGACAGTTTGTTGCATCTACTCTCCAGGGAGAAACTTTCTATATATATCATATGGCCTGTGTGTGGATAGATAAAATAGATAGATTTTAAGATATGATAGATAGATAGATTGCATCCTAACTTGGAAGCAACCCCTTCCTATCTAATTGGTCTAATCTGGGATGAACTTGACAGAAGAGTGAAATAAAAAGACGAAAAACTCTTCTCCATGGAGTCATTGAAAAAGAATGAGAAAAATCCATTAAGGAATGCAAAAAAACTTATCTACTTTGGAAAACTTTTTGTAACAGAATGCCCAAAATTTATGACCGGGGCAAAAAATGCTAATGGAGGATATTTTGACGACTACTCTCCAGAAAAAATTTAATCATAATTTATCTAATCTGTGGATGACCGGGGCAAAAATAAAATTTCTAAAAAATCATGTTGCATCTACTCTCCATGGACTTTTTTCCTATCAGCATGGCTATAATCATTTTTCGCAAAAAATTAAATTAAAAAATGCAATACATTTCATCCTCTCCATTTTAAAAAAAACTTCCTATCAGCATCCTGGTCTAACTTTGGATGACGGTAATTTTAAGACAAGCAAACTGTATTTCCATGGGAAACTTTCCTGCTTAAAAAGGTCTAATCTGTGGATCACCAGGTAAAAATATATAATTTTAATAATGCAAGACGAAACATCTAATGGAGGTTCCTATCAGCATGGCCTGGTCTAATCTGTGGATGACCAAAAAATCTGTTTTATGAAGAAAACATCTAATAATCATCAGACTATCTAATCTGTGATATAAAATGGCTATGAATTTAAGGAATAAGACGGATTATATATCTCCATGGAGTTTCATTAATCAGCATGGCCTGATCAAATCTGTCATGACCAGGGCAAATAAATCAGTGTTTTTGGTGAAACAGAAACTTGCATTTCTCCCTATTGGATCATGGTCTATTTTTATGAGTATTGGCGATTTTATGTAAGACAAAAAAAACTAATGGATAGAAACCTCGCTTCCTATCAAATGGCCTGGTCTAATCTGTGAAACGAAAAAAAAATTTTAAGAATGCAAGACAGAAACTTAATTCACATTTAAAACTTTCCTGCTTCCTATCAGCTGGCCTGGTCTAATCTGGTGATGACCCAAAATATATAAATATATATATATATATATATATATGGAGAGAGAGATGGCCTGGTCTAATCTGTGGATGACCGGGGCAAAAATGGAAAATTTTAAGGAAAAGACGAAACTGTTGCCACTTCCAAGAATTTCCTGCTTCCTATCAGATGGCCTGGTCTAAAAGTGGTCTGAAAGGGGGCAAAAAAATAGAAAATTTTAAGGAAAATCAAAACTAAAAAAAACTGGCATCTAATTTTATACATTTCCTTTAATTTGGATGACCAGGGCAAAATGGCTTAAAACAAATGAAGATATCAACTTTTCTACTCTCCATGGTTTCTCTTCCTATCAGCATAGCACTTCTATCTGTCGTTGACAGGGGCAAAAAATGGTTTATAAATTTTAAGGAATGCAAGAAAACTGTTGCATCTACTCTCCATGGAGAAACTTTCCCTTCCTATCAACATGGCCTGGTTTCTGGGTGACCCAACGCAAAAATGGCAAATTTTTTAAGGAATGCAAGACAAGAAACTGTTATCATCTACTCTCCATGGAGAAACTTTCCTGCTTCCTATCAGCATGGCCTGGTCTAATCTGTGATGACCAGGGCAAAAAATAGCCGCAATTTTAAGGAATGCAAAAGAAATTCATCTACTCTCCATGGAGAAACTTTCCTTCTTCCTATCAGCATGGCACCCTAATCTGTGGATGACCAGGGCAAAAATGCTTATGAATTTTAAAGATGCAAGGAAACTGTTGCATCTACTCTCCATGGGAAACTTTCCTGCTTCCTATCAGCATGGCCTGGTCTAATCTGTGGATGACCGGGGCAAAAATGGCTTATGAATTTTAATTCATCCAAAACGAAACCGTTGCATTTACTCTCTATGAAGAAACTTCCCTGCCTCCTATCCGAATGGTTGATGCTAAACTCTATAAGTTCGCCTCACTGCACTTTCTTAGTCTCACGTTTTCCACTGACCTGAGGTGGAACAATTATATTGAATCGATAGCTGCATCTATCGTAAGGAAAAATTAGTACTCTGTGTTGCGCCAGAAGGTTTTTTTTATCTCGTCTGAGTCCATCCTTCGCATCTCCAAATCTACCATTCATCCATACATGGAATACTGTTGCCTAAAGTCTCCGCTGTTCATCTTGAGTTTCTTGACAAAATCCAAAAACGGATATGCAATGTGATCGGTCCTGACTTGGGGTCCCGACTACAGTCATTTTCTCACCGACGTAATGTGACTTCCCTCTGTCTTTTCTATAAATATTTTTATGGCATCTGCTCTGACGAGCTATTTTCACTTTCCCAGAAAGAAATGGAAAGTACTTGGGAAATAAAAGTGATTTTCACTGTTACAATAGATTCCTTGCCTTATTTAATTGTAATATACGAAAAAATATTCGTCAATATGAACGGATTATGATAAAAAAATAAGCAGACATAATGTTTGTAATATTTCAGACACATACACACACACACACATATATATATATATGTGTGTGTGGATAGATAGATAGATAGATAGATAGATAGATAGATAGATAGATAGATCAAAACTTTGAAGCAACCCCCAGAATTGGCATGGGATGAACTTGAGAGATGAGTGAAATAAAAAGTGAAAAAGCTCTGAGAGTCATTGAAAAAAATGAGATCAATTATAAAACTTATGCTTTGAAAAACTTTTGTAATGAATGCCCAAAAATTGTGCGAGGCTAATGGAGGATATTTTGACGACAGAAAAATTTAATCATAATTTATCATAATAAAATTTCTAATAAAACAAATCATGTCTCATTTTTTTTAATCATTTATAATCATTTTCTCGTAATTAAATTTCAAAACGAATACATTTGGGGCCAATTTTAAAAAAAATACCAGACGTTCCCTCGAACTTTGGAACGGTAATTTTAAGACATGCTATATTTATGAGTTAAAAAAGGTCAATATCAGGGGAGGATATATGAATAAAGACCAGACATAAAGGTCCAATTTAAATCTGTTTTCATGATAAACGTAATAATCAGACTATGATATAGATTGATATAGATATATATAAAGGGTGTTTCATTAAGACGGATTATATATAAGTGTGTTTCATTAAGACGGATCAAAATAAGCAGTAAATAAATCAGTGTTATTGGTGAAGAATTATTTATTTCTCTATTGGATCATGTTATTTAAGTATTGGCGATTATATACCAAAAAAAATAATGTCGCCCACAAATCTGAAAATATAGACGCTTAAACTTAATTCACCTTTTGATCTGTCCAACTAATTTGGAACACCCATTATATATATATATATATATATATATATATATATATATATATATATATTCTAGAAGAGAAAGGAGAGAAAAAGAGAGTAATAATAGTCACCTCAACAATTTCATGAGTCAAAAAAGTGGTCTTAAATCAAATAGAAATCAACAATTTATACGAGGGAAAATTAAAAACTAAAGGCAATTTTTATACATTTCCTTTATTTGCACTGATGAAGAACAAATGAACATGTCACTTTTTGACATAGTCTCTTTGCACGGCGATGCACTTCCATTGTCGTTTAACGAGCTTCTTTATCTCTTCCGAAGAGAAGCTTCTCTCACGAAGCTACGTCTGAACCGCTTGCTTGTTTGGGTACCCAACGCGAACAAATTGTACGGTACCCCAAGTTATCAGGCACTATGGCTTTTACAGATCCATACCTGATGCCTACGACTGCCGCAACTTGTGCTAAAGTGATTCGTTACTCTTCGTTTTTCCCTGATCAAGCCATCCACCCACTCGTTGTGGTCTTCCGTGCGCGATGTTCATGGGTGACCAGATCGGCTTTCCTCCGTTACACTTGTTTCTTACAACTTTAAACCGCTCCACACCTCTCACACACCTTTCATTGATACATGGTGCGTGCTCCATACTGCGCCAACATCTGGCAATAGATTTCCACAAAAATGGTTCCCACAGAAAGAATACTAAGGCACGTTGTTCCTCGATGGCGCAATCGCTGAGTGGAGCGACCAAATATTGGTACTCGACTGAATTATGGAATGTTGCGCCTGGCAGAACCCTTTATCCCATGCGCACGCCTCGTGTCAGTCTCCCTGTTGTTTTTACCGCCTAACTCAAAATTATTTTCTGATTTAATT